CCCTGCACCCCCGTGCCCCCCGCCCCCCGGTGCCGGTGCCGGTGCCCCCGTACCGATGCGGGCTCCGTGCCCCCCGCCCCCCGGTGCCGGTGCCCCCGTACCGATGTGGGCTCCGGGCCCCCTCCGCGCCCCCCGGGCCCGCACGGCCTCGCGGATCCGCTCCACCTCCTGCTGGTAGCGCCGCTTGTCCAGGCGCGCCCCCTCCTTGGCCGCCCTCAGCGCCCCTTCCAGGGCCTGCACTCGCCCAGCCGTAGCGCGCAGCCGCTTCTCCAGCTTCGGAAGCTCACAGCGCAGGTCTGCATTGTCACGGACCAGCTGTGCGACACGTCAGTACCGGTACCGGCACCGGCACCCCGCCCGGAGCCGCTGCGGCACCGCCCGTGCCGCCCGCACCTGTCCCCGCACCTGCTCCGCACCCGCCCGCCCCGGGACTCGCAACGCGGGGTCCGCGCTGCCACGGACCAGCTGTGCGACACGGCAGAACCGGCACCGGGACCCCACCGGGACTGGGACCCCGCCCGGACCCGCTGCGGCACCGCCCGTGCCACCCGAGCCTGCCCTGCCCCTGTCCCTGTCCCCGCACTGCCACGGACCAGCTGTGCGACACGGCAGAACCGGCACCGGGACCCCACCGGGAGCGGGAGCCGCTCCCAACATCACCCGCACCTGCCCCGGCACCGGCACCGCACACACCGGTACCGGCCCCGGCACCGACACCCGCACACGCCGGTACCGGCACCGGCACATCCACACCCACTCACAGCCGCTGGTACCGGCACCGACACCCGCACACAGCGGCTCCGGACCGCACCAGCGCTGACACCGACACCCGCACACACCGATACCGGCGCGGGCACCGACACCCGCTCACACCGGCACACACCGGTACCGGCACCGGCACGGACCCGCTCCGGTTCCGGCAGTGGCACCGGTACCGGGTACCCAGCGGCTCAGCCCCTCAGCCCGGCCCCTCAGCCCCCCGGCCCGGCAGGGTCTCGGGGGTCTCCGTGCCCCTAACGGTGCCTGGGTGGGGTCTCCGTGCCCCAGCGGTACGTGGGGGTGTCCCGGCCCCCCTCAGTGTCCCGGGCTGTCCCGGGCTGTCCCGGGCTGTCCCGCCCCCCCAGCAGTGCCGCTTGCAGCAGGGGGGCTGTGCCGGGGGGCAGTGAGGGGGGCTGGGGGCGCAGGGAGTGAGGGAGGGGCTCACAGCCGGGGGGGCAGGTAGGAAGGTGCCCCCACCCGCAGGACCGGGAGCTTCCAGGGGGGCAGAGAGGAATTTGGGGGGTTATTGCCCTCCCCGGGGTGGGGGGGGGGGGCCTGGGGGGGGGGGTGAGGGAGGTGAGGGGGTGCACGGGGACCCCCAGACTCCCCCAGGCTCCTCTGAGCCCCCCAGGACCCCCCACCTACCACGGTCTCCTCCAGCCCCTTGAGGTCCTGCTTGGACTGCTCGTGGCGCTCGTAGAGGAGCCTGGGGGGCAGGGACCCAAAATTAGGGGGGCTCCATCCAAGGGGGGCACCCCTGGGTTTGGGGGGGCCACCCAGGATTGGATGGGGTCAGTACAAGGAGGAGAGGGCACCCCAAACTTGGGAGGGTCACTTCAAGCTTGAGGGGGGCAGCCAAAGAACGGAAGTTCCAAGGTTAGGGGGACCCCGAGGTTGGGGAGCACCCCAAAGTTGACGGGGGTCACTTGAAGGTTGGGGGATGTCTGAGGGTCCTGGGGGGCTCTGGGGGTCAAGTTTAGGGTCCCAAGGGTGGGGGCCCTGGGGTTTGGGGATCCTGGTGTGTCAGCAGGGTCGGGGTGATGGGTGGGGGTCCGGTGGTGAGTCCCTGGTGGATTCTAGGATTGGGGTCCCCAGGGAAATGTGGGGGAGCCCTGGGTATCGGGTTGGGGTCCCCAGGGTGATCACAGGGGTTGTGTTGGGGTCCCCAGGGGAATGTGGGGGAGCCCCGGGGGATTGGGCTGGGGTCCCCAGGGGAATCCCAAGGAGCCCTGGGTGTTGGGGTCCCCAGGAGGATCTAGGGGAGCCCCAGGAGTTGGGTTGGGGTCTTGAGCAGAATCTAGTGGAGCCCTGGGCGTTGGGTGGGGGTCCCCAGGGAAATGTAGGGGAGCCCTGGGGATTGGGTTGGGGTCCCCAGGGGAATCCCAATGAATGTGGTGTTAGGTTTGTGTTGCTGGGGGAATCCGGGGGGTTGGGTTGGGGTCCCCAGGGGAATGTGGGGAGCCCCTGCGGTTGGGTTGGGGTCCCCAGGAGAAGGTGGGGAGCCCCTGCGGTTGGGTTTGTGTCCCAGGGGAGCCCCAGAGGCCCCGGGCTGGGGTCCTGGGGGTCTCACGTGAGCTCCTGCAGCCGCGCCGCCTTGGCCCGCTCCTCCGCCCGCAGCGCCTCGTGCTCCGCCCGCAGCCGCTCCAGCTCCAGCTCCAGCTTCTGGTTCTGGCTGTGACGGACACACGGACACGGGTCAGGCACGGACGGACACGGGGACAGGGATGGATGGACGGGAGGGCACGGGAGCAGACGGATGGATGAGGGAAGGAAGGATGGACAGGACAAGAGTAGGGTTCAGGGGGTCAGGGCTGGACGGAGGGATGGACACACGGGTGGGGAGAGCAGGGGACAGACGGCTGGATGGGCAGACAGGGGGTCAGGAGATGGACAGACTGATGGACATGAGGTCAAGGGGGCTGAGGATGCATGGACAGCATTCAGGGGATGGATGGATGATGGATGGATGATGGATGGATGATGGATGGATGACGGATGGATGATGGATGATGGATCATGGATCATGGATGATGGACGGATGATGGATGGATGATGGATCGACAGATCCACGAGGGGATTGTCCTTGCCTGCCCCCACTGTCCACCCCTCCAAGGATGAGTCAAGGAAGGGACAGGGCTGAGATCAGCGTCAAGGGCAGGGCCAGGTCACAGCTGGGTCAGGAACAGGGTCGGGGTCAGGGTCTGGCTTAGGTTGGTGGGGGTCAGGTTTGGGGCCAGGTTTGGGGCCAGGTTCATATCAGGGTGGGCTCAGGGCTCTGGCCAGGTCGGGCTCTGGCCGGGTCACTCACTCCCGCAGCTCGTCGATGGTTTTCTGCCGCTCGTTGACCTCGTCCCGCAGCCGCGCCAGCTGCTTGTGCTGGGCCTCGCGCTGGCTCTCGAGCTGCAGCTCCAGCGCCGCCTGCGCCCACGGGGGCCTCAGCTCGGGCACCCCAACATTTCCTGGGCACCCCAGCACCTCCCACCAGGGCACCTCCCAGGGATCCCACACCCCAGCATCCCCCAGGGACCCCTCATCCCAACACCTCCCAGGGATCCCACACCCCAAACACCTCCCGAGGACCAAAACACCCCAACATTCACGGGGACCCCACACCCCAACACCCCGCAGGGACCCCACACCCCCAGGGACTCATGCACCCCTACATCCACGGGGACCCCACACCCCAACATCTCCTGGGACCCTCAGCACGCCCTCATTCCCAGCGAGTCCTTGGAGCTGCCATCTCCCAGGGACCCCCACACCCTGCACCCAGCCTCATGGAGACCCCAACCTCCCCAGCACGCCCCCAACACCCCCAGACCCCCAGCACACCCCTGCTCCCCAGGGACCCTCACCCACCTCAAGCATGTCTCACACACCGTAAGAACCCCCAGCTGTCCCCCCTGCCCAACCCCCACAGCCTTCAGGGTCCCTGAGCCCCCCAGGGTTGCTGTGCCCCCCTGTCCCCCTCACCTTGACCTCGTCCGTGTCCTGGGTCTCATCCTGCTCTCGCTGCTTCCGAGCTGCCCCCTGTGCAGCCTCTGTAGGGCCCGGCAGGACAGGGACCCCTCAG